TGCGTTCAAAATAGACTCATTATTGTAAAACTGGAAGCACTTTCACACTGGAAACTTTTGTTTTTAGAAACAGTTTGTTTTATAATGTTGGTATTACGTTTTCAAGGACGCCACAAACGTCACCCGAGATGTTCGTGAATGAAAAACGGTTTGTTTTAATTGTGTTAAAACCAGTGTTTTTGTTTTAATTATTTTGAAATTTTAGAACAGTATACAAATTAATCAAATAAATTTATTTTTTATCATTTCTTTCTTTAATGAAGATGTTGAATGTATTATCAATTCCACTCTGACATCTGCAGCATAAAATATAAATGTGAAAGTACTTATTTAATTAAAACACCAAAAAACAAAAACAAAACATTAAAAAAAAAATTCGTATAATAAAAAAGAATTTTTTTCACTAGCAGCCAGGACGCATGCAAATGTCGACTCATTTAGTGGTAGCAAATTCAACTTTTGCTACCACGGGTTCAAAAAGAAAAATTGAGGTTATGTACGCAATGTTTGATGTGATTATTTCTTAAAAAATGAACAAATGTGTGCTACAAACATTACTTGAGTATACGCATAGTAGTTGGTAGATGGTAGAAAATAAAATGATTAACTCAGCGACAAGTATAAACGGTTTTCTTTGTGTTGAAGATTTAGATTAAGTTTGATTAGAAATCAAAACAAAATCATGTTGCGTCAAAAAATTGAACGTTTATTTTTTCAGTTTATTGTCTTATGGTTTCTGCTAGTGAAAAAAATAGTATATTAACCACGGTTACAAAGCCACTTCTAGACCTTGCGCTTCAGAGCCCTCGACGCTGCGCGTCTCGGGTTCTAATTTGCGCTCGGTCTAGAATGCTTGGCTCTGCAACCTTGGCTAATAATATACTATTTTTAACATCTATCTGTCACATACGTCAAATATCAACCGTGAAATCCGTAATCTAGATCGTTTTTAAAGTCATTTCATAAACGACTTTTAGTATTTGAGATTAAATTTCACACAAATGAGAATGACAAATATAACATGTATTTGAACAAGTGATACGGTGTTAACCTAAATTTTTACCACATTGAATTGTGGCTAATAATAATAATAATAATAATGATAAAGTTTCTTAGCCAGCGGGCAAAACGCTCATAGAGGACATATAGTACACCCCAAGGTTAGTTAATAGAGAATCTATTAAATGACTTTGGGCTAAATCCATGTCTGTGGATAATCATTTTATGAATATTATACCGGGTGTCTGGAAAATGGCGAATTAACTCTTCAGTACGTTATGTACGGGGGTTTCAGGAGTAAATGTAATTTTATAAAAGTAAAATTGACAACACTGCACGCACCTAATGCGTGAATACCTCCAGGCTACTTTTTGATTTCTTAGGAACGATGGTGACTGAAATCCACCTTTTTTTTAGGACATTAACCATAACAACCAGAAGGTAGTCATTAATCATTGTGCATTATTATTAATACAACAAGCTGTTATTTTTCATTAATAAATAAACAAACACAAAGATGAATAATTTATAAACACAAACAAAACCAACAAAAGAAAAATCCATTAAAACATAACCAACTAAACAGTAGAGAAGATGTTCAAAATTGACCAGTAAAGTAAGGTTAGAATTTAGAATGCGCGGCAGTTCATAATTCAAAAATTCTACTATGGGTTTCTTATGGGAGCTTGATTTTACAGACAAAATACGCCGCATAGGTAGAAATCTTAACCAGTTCATGCTACAAGCGATAAAGACTGTACAATTATCTTCCTGTTACTAAAGGTTTAACTATATAAAAAGCTTCTGTTAAAGATATATTGCAAATTAAAAACAACGCTATCCATCGAAGTAACGTACATCGTTTCTAACGTCTTGCGCATGAGTGAAACGGAAAATCCAGAAACACTTGGGAAAGAAAAAGAACGCGAATATTTTGCGGTACTAGTGACGTTTAGATCGTGAAAATCCCCAAAATATGACAGTTGATTTCGTATTTTCATCATTTCATCACAACAAACAATCATAATCACAATTTTTGGATGATGTATTAGTTCTGTGATATTGATTCACATTGGGTTGTATGTATCTGTGGACTGGTTTTTTTGTATTTGTTATTAATAATGACAGAAAGACATGTGTTAACAATAGGGGCAATTGCCATTTTTTTTTGTTGGAGAAAATTCTTTACAGTCAAATAATGTAGCGAAAGTCAATTGGTATACTGAATTAAATGTGCTTGAAGAGTTTATTCGAGCTAGAATGCGAGAAGATCATGGTAAGTTAATGTATATTGATAAATTCTGTGTCAAGTAAAATTATGACGTATTTTGTTTTATTATGCATAGATATTCCTTAAGAGAGGCAACATGTGAAACCCCAAGAGGTGCATTTGTATATCATCATATGGCTACACCTGCCCTACACGGACGTTATAATGTATTGTGGACCAATAGTTTGCGTGCTTGAGACGTACATCTGAAGAAAAGTGAATCAGCTGAGGTCCGAGCTGTTGTCTCTGAAAATTCTTTTAATCCCCAAGTCAGCCTAAAAACAGCTAATGTTGAGGTACAACTTCATGAAGGCTTAGGACAAACTGATAGGAGCGAAGCACTGCTTTTGCTATTGGGCCCTGAACTAGAAAGATCTGAAGAAAATCTACTTCACAGTGTCGAAGAACTATGAGTGTCCGAGGACTATTTTAATGGCCCATCAAGAAAACAGTTTGTGGGTCAGTTTTTCACCAAAAGTGAATCAGATTTTGCATTAGGAAGTGCAATTTTTTATTGTAAAATACTTTTTTTTTGTTTTGAAATAAATTGTTCTTTAAATTGTGATTTTTTTTTATGGGTGTTTCAGACCCAATTCGTACTAAAATGAGAGTGATTTTTACTTGTACATGAAAGGTTTAATCAGGAATGCTAAGTTTTTCCTTTTCTAGCAAAAATGTGTGAAAAGAAAAAAGCTTGGGATTGATGATGATTCTTAAATCAAAATTTGGCAATTGATTGAAAACATTTGCAAATATGAGATCTCCTTTATGTATTATTTTAAATTCACAGCCGTATCTGCAGCATCTGAAAATCAAAGCCATTTATGTGGAGGGGGAAGTCAATGGCAGTATGAACCACTGTACGACATACGTTCGAGGCAAATGTAGTGGTAAAAGTTGAATTTAAATATTTATTAAATACTACCGGTTCCGTTCATGTTTGGTATCAAGATCAACAGTAAAAATATCAGTCTTAATGGTACAGGTAGTGGGATATATAAGAAAATTACTTTAATGGTACAATTTAAGCGTTAAAGTGACGCCTCGATTTCACCCATAAGGATTACACGGGGAACTGAAATACGGGTCTCGTGTTATGAACTGAGTTCAAATTTCGCGCGTCATTCACTTTACTGGTCAATTCCTGCCTTGTGCATATAAGTAAGCTCGTACTGTTTCCAAATTTGGATCATTTTTTGTAAAAGTTAGTCATCAGTACTTGCTAAGATAAAACTGATTTTGGCAGTGACATACCCTCTAAGAAAAGAAAGGGTGGGTGGGCGGGGCTAGTAGCTGCTAAGATAAGACTGATTTTGGCAAATGACATGTTCTCTAAGAAAATAGAGGGCGAGCGGCTGGCGCTAGTATCTATTAAGATAAAACTGATTTTAACAAATGACGTATCATCGTAAAACAGGTCAGGTCAGAATTTTCCAAAAATAAAACACCAAAGTCCGTCAAAATTGTTTTAAATAATTTCCAAAAAAAATCTCCATGGGCTTGCAAAATAATACACACCATGGGTGCCCAAGAGTTTCCCGAATTAAAAAGAAAAACACTGCGGCACTAAAGACTTTTTCAAATTCATCAAAAATCAAACACTAAACGCTCAAAAGATTTTTTTTCAAGTTCATCCAGCAACAAAATACCAGATTCCTTTAAATTTGTCCCAAAATAAAACACCAGGGGACATTTTAAACGTGGGATTTTGAAAACTTTGACAATTTTTGATACCTCAAACATTTTTAACTGGTTACTCGATTTTTGCTGATTTGTACCTTCGCTTTCTATCAGGCAAACAGTCTTGTTAAATGGAATTTTATCAAATTATTACAAAAACAACATAACCATATCTTTGTAAATTCTAACTGGGATGGTAATTAAACATGATCATGGGCGGGGGACATATTAACTAAAAGTTTTATTACTAGTTATTGTGATAATAATAATACACATATATTTAATCAAGTATCGGAACGGGATGTTCTAAATGCCATAATGCAACTGAAACTGAAATATACCGCAGGACCTGACAAAATTCCGTCAGTTTTAATTAGAGAATGTGCCTCGTTCTGGATTAAACCTTTACCAAACCTTTTTAACTTATCGCTAAAACATAAGACTTTTCCTGATGTGTGGAAAGCAACTACAGTTGTGCCTATATTCAAGAACGGAAATCGTGCATGCATTGAAAATTACCGGTCAATATCATTGGTCAACAATTTTTCAAAAGTGTTTGAAAGTGTTATTTCGAATTCCTTGTCGTATTATTTCAAGAATTCCATCTCAGAATGTCAGCATGGCTTCATAGAAGGGCGCTCGACTGTTACAAATTTGTGTACAGTTACCCAGTTTATTGCAAAATCGATTGATCTAATTTACACTGATTTTTCAAAAACATTTGATCGTTTACAGCATGATATACTTGTATTTAAGCTTAAAAAATTCGGTTGCAGTTCAGATGCTCTGCAATTTCTACCTACTATCTACTGGTTGAATGGTATACAACCCTTTATACACGGAGTAAATTATGTCAAAACTTTATAATAATAGTTGCTTGTGTCTAACTCGTTATTCAATAAATTAAATATGTTAAAACCCTTCTGTACATCAATGAGTTGAAAAGTTGAATGAAGAATGAAGAAATTTTTTACAATCATCCTGTAGATTTCAATAACAATATCGCATGCTCACTAACAATAAAACACAAAAGGAACTAAAATTCCCTAAACATAACCTAACTTTTTTCATGTGTTTAGTGGTGTCAATAATTTAAAACAGATTACTGAAAATGGTTAAGAAACGTTATAATTGGAAGTCAAGACAAGTCGTAAATACAGTAGTTGATGATTCAGCTACAAAAAAAGTATTTTCTTTAATTTACAAAGTGTGTCACAACAATAAAATTTTACTATTTCAGATACAACTAGATTTACCAGTAGAAGGCCACTACGACCAAAGCAATGAATTAGTTCTTCCCTCAAAGAAACGTAAAACGAAAGTGAAAGACGAAAAGAACAAAGTCGTGAAAATCCTCTCAAAAAAACATCGAAAGAAGTTGGAAAAAATTGTTGAAAAGAAGAAGAAAAAGGAAAATGTAAGTTCACACCTTGTACCAAACTCGCCCACAACTTGAAATTTTAGAGAGCATCCCTTTTAGAAGCGTTATCAAAAGTCCAGGCAACCCCGAATGAACTAAATAAATTAACCTCGATATCCACGGTACAAACTAAAGGACTAAAACGTCACCTCCTTGAGGAGACAACTGTGGAAAAACCCAAAAAACCAAAACGCGACCTCCAAATACTGTCCGGCGAAATCAAACTCAACAGCATTTCGGGAGCAAAACGCCGCCAGCTCCTTGAAGAAGAAACCAAAACAGAAACAATCAACGACCCAAACGTGGTTGGTTTTGAATCTTCAGACTCCGGTAATGACAGCGATTCAGAACCTGAACCACCTCAAAAAGAAAAACCAGAACTTCCCCCAAAAGCCGAACCTGAAAAAAAAGAGCCTCAAAATGATACAAAACCAAAAGAAATAAAGGAGCCCCAAAATGATACAAAACCGAAAGACCCAGAACCCAAACCGGTAAAGAAAAAACCTGAAGCAAAACCAGCAGTGTACGTCGACGTAATTCGTGATGAAGAAATCCAAAAAGCCCGTTTAAAACTGCCCATTCTGGCTGAAGAGCAACAAATAATGGAAGTCATTAACGAAAACCCGGTTGTGATCATTGCCGGCGAAACCGGCAGTGGCAAAACCACGCAAGTCCCACAGTTTTTGTATGAAGGGGGTTACGCTTTGAAGAAACAAATCGCAGTAACTGAACCCCGACGAGTCGCTGCTATAGCCATGTCAAAACGCGTTGGCGAAGAAATGAATTTAAATTCGCGCGAAGTGTCATATTTGATACGGTTTGAAGGAAATGTAACCGAAGACACCAAAATTAAATTCATGACTGACGGTGTTTTGCTAAAAGAGGTCCAGAACGATTTTCTTTTGAGTCAGTACTCTGTTGTGATATTGGATGAGGCTCACGAAAGGTCGGTGTATACCGACATTTTAATAGGGTTGCTGTCGAGGATTGTTCCTTTGAGAAAAAAAAGAGGGGATCCACTTAAACTGATAATCATGTCGGCCACTTTGAGGATTGAAGACTTCACAATGAACCAACGATTGTTTAAGACACCACCTCCAGTTTTAAAAGTCGACAGCCGACAGTTTCCAGTCACTGTTCACTTTAATAAACGAACGGACGAAGATTATTTGAGCGAAAGTTTCAATAAAACGGTCAAAATCCACACGAAATTGCCAGACGGAGGAATTTTAGTTTTTCTGACTGGTCAACAAGAAGTTAATTCTTTGGTTAAGAAGTTACGGGCGAAATTTCCGCTGAAGGCGAAGCCAATTAAGGACGACACGGAGGAGGAGGAGGAGGCGGGGCCTAAACTTCGCAAACAGAAAAAAGTGTATGCGCCTAAAGTCGACCTGGACGACTACAAACCTGATTGGTCCAGCGACAGCGAAGAAGAGACAGAGGAACGCCCCGTTCACAACGCCGCGCCTCTGTGGGTGTTACCCTTATACTCCATGCTACCAACCCACAAACAAAATGAAGTTTTCAAACCGCCTCCTGCTGGTTGTCGCTTGTGCGTGGTTAGTACGAACGTGGCCGAAACCAGCTTGACCATCCCTAATGTCAAGTACGTCGTGGATTGTGGGCGGAGCAAAGTCAAACTTTACGATAAAGTGACCGGAGTTAGTAGTTACGTAGTCACGTGGACTAGTAAAGCCTCAGCCGACCAACGAGCGGGAAGAGCGGGACGTACGGGTCCAGGTCATTGCTACCGCCTCTACTCAAGCGCTGTGTTCAACGACACATTCCAGATGTTCTCTATACCAGAAATCCAGCAAAAACCAGTCGACGACTTATATTTACAAATGAAATGTATGAGTATCGACAAAGTGGTGAATTTCCCATTTCCGACAGCCCCCGATTTGTTACAATTGAAGACGGCCGAGCGCCGACTGGAAGTACTAGGGGCGTTAACAAAAGGACAAGTCACCGCCTTAGGGCGTGCCATCGCCAAATTTCCGGTTTTACCCCGTTTTGGCAAAATGCTTGCGTTAAGTCACCAACAGGATTTACTCCCTTATACGGTATGTCTTGTGGCTGCTTTATCCGTCCAGGAAGTGTTGTTAGAGAGGCCGATTAACGAAGGCGACGATAAGGGTGAAAGGCTTAAATGGGCGGGGCTTCGACGACAGTGGGCGGGCAGTGGTAACTCGCTACTCTTGGGTGACAACATGGTGCTCCTGCGAGCGGTAGGCGCGGCCGAGTATGCCAACACCCAAAACAAACTAGAAAAGTTTTGTTTCGACAACGGGTTAAGACACAAGGCGCTTGTGGAAATCAGGAAGTTGCGTCTGCAGTTAACCAATGAGATTAAAGCGAATATGCCGGAGGCGGAGCTTGTGGTGGACCCACAATTAGCGCCGCCTACTGACCTTCAAGCTAAACTATTACGACAGATTTTGCTATCGGGGATGGGTGACCAAATCGCGAAAAAGATAGGCGAAGAGGAAGCTGAAGATCGTGTCAAGTTTAAATACGGTTATCACGCGAATAATATGGAAGAACCTGTTTTTCTCCATTCTGGGTCGGTCTTACGCAAAACCCTTCCCGAGTTTGTGGTTTATCAGGAGATTTACGAAACTAATAAAATTTATATGAGAGGGGTTACAGCGATTGAACCCGAGTGGTTGCCGGTGTATGTACCCGATTTGTGCAACTTGAGCGAACCTTTGAGTGATCCAGAACCTAGGTACAATCGAGCGAATGGAAAAGTGTATTGTACGGTGACGGGAACGTTCGGAAGTCAGGGTTGGAGTTTACCAAATGTTGAAATTGAGTTTCCTAGGACTATAAATTATTATAAGTGGTTTGGAAGGTTTTTGTTGGAGGGGGTTGTTTTTAAGAAGTTACTTAAGTATAAGGAGGTGTTGTTAAGTCAGCCGAGTATTATGGTGAAGAGCTGGGCGAAGCTGCAGCCGAGGACTGACGCGCTTTTGAAGGCTTTGGTGTCAAAGGAAGTGATTTCCAAAGAACGGTTGGACGAAATATGGAAGGAAACACCCAAATGTAAGTGTCAGGTGTCCTTTTTCGGTCAGTTTTGTTAAATTAATGACACCTTAAAGTGTCTGAAGTATTTTCTTTACAGTCAGAGTATACATTTTACCTTAAACTGTTTCAGTTCTTTTGGAGGAATACCTGCGATGGATGCCCCAGTCAGCATATGGTGAAGTGAGTTTAATGTGGCCACCACTAGACTAACTCTGGTAAGTCTATATTTATTAAAGAAAATCACAATCATGCTATATAACGGAATGTAAGATTGCTGCACTATTTGACTACTCTTTAAGCCTTATACGCTTTAAAAACTTCAACTAAAACCGCCTGCTCCTGCCTCTTCACGCTCTTCATATCCAAAATTTTATAAAAATCATTCAGTTGACATTCTGGCAATAACTTCCTGTACTGTTCCACAAAAGCCTTTGACGGATCAACAGGGGTCATCACAACCTTTAGGATCATCTCGGCCTTGGTCATCCCTTTAGTTACCACCTTAGTATACGAAGCGGGAGCTTGTCGATTAATTTGCGACGAAATCGACGGTAAATTTAACAATACTGTTTTCAACATATGAGTATCTAAAAGCAATTGTTCGGCGCCTTCGGTATTTATCGGTTTACACTTGTAGATGTTTTGAATAAATTTCGGAGTAAACGAATTAGCGAATTTTATGCAAAATTGTGTAAAATATTTGCGCGAGTGGGACAAGTTGTCCCTTATTATAGGTATAGTGGTTTTGAAGTGGGTCGTGATGGCGGTGATGTAGGGGCTTTGATCGCCCACGGTATCTACATTCTGCCATTGGATCTAAAAATTAATTAATTAATCAATGTGCGCTTGGTTATCGCTTGGAAGGCGTGGCTTAGGAGAAGGAATGGAAGCTGAACGGGCGTGACCTAAATGAAGGAGCGGCGTATGAAAAGAAGTGGGCGTGGCTTACCTTGCTCATGGTCGTCAGAGCTGGCTCACACGCATTCTCTAAGTCTTGCACCAAAATCTGAATACAGTTGGAAATGACTCTAAAAACAACAATTACACGAAATCTTGGACTCTTTGCAACTTACTTATGAAAGTTGTCTTGTTCTTTTGACAGATCGATTTGGTCGGCCAGCGATGGGTCGATTTTCTCCTTAAGCTTATCAGATAGTTGCTGAGTGGTCTCTAAACAATATTCAGCAGTAGACAATATACAACAGATCTTAGCCAACTCGTCTTTATTGAATCTCGTAAGCTCGCCTTCTTTCAAAAGAGACGAGAAGTTCTGAATGAGGCCGGAAGTCGACATTTTCTGGAGATCGCGCGTCAACAATTGAACACTCGTTCCGAGACTCTGTGCCTCTATTTTGGGTAAATTATTTTGGAGGAGTTTTTCAGAATATTCGTGTAAATACTTCTGGAAGGTTTTAGTAAGGTTTAACATTGACTGCCCATTGTCCAACTGCGTGCACTGAATCATGCTTTTTTTGTAAAATACGAACAAATCGGGACACGAAGGAAGAATAGAAGCTTGAGTTTCTGTAGCTTCCGTGGGTTGGGTTTGCTTTGAGTCTTGAACAAACCTCTCAATTAAATCTGACAAGTTTCTATCTATACTTTCAATGTAGATTTCTAAGTGGGGGATAAAACAGTTGCCTATTAAACCCGTGAAGGGTGATCTAACCAAATCTGTTTCAGTATCAGTTTCGTCGTCTTTTAACGTAATCCCAGTGAAGCGTTTAGAGAGCAAAGTTTCAAAAGTCGAAGTTTTCTGTATCGCGTATAGTAGTAACTTTACGTCAATTTCGCTTTTTCGTTTCATCATAATTTTAGAGAGTTCTTCTCGCGTGTTGTGGCAAAACTGAACCGCTATTCGTTCTGAGACTTCCCAGTTTTGTGGGAAAAGATTCCCCAGACGGTCTTCAAACTCTAGTAAATGACGTTTGATCCAAGCGTATCTTTTGTCGATTTTATCCAACCATGCCGTATCTTCCGTTTCTTGAAACAAGTGGTTGTACTCCTGAAGTTGCAGATTTACAAACCACTTCAATAAATCGCGTTTAACTTTCGGATCTAAAATTGACACAACCAGACAAGCCTGTGCTAGTTGTTTATTAGGAATAGAACTCTTGTTGCTGCCGGAAAAAGCCTCCTTAAAATCATGCGTGATTTGCTCGGCAAGCTCCACATGAATTGACTTTACTTGATCACTCAGATTCTTGATTTGGGGTATATCAGAGTAGTTTTCAAAGTGAGTCATCACTTCACTGATTGCTTGAAGTGGAAGGGCGATTTCACCATAAAGACGCCTCTGTGTGAGCAACTTTAAAGTATCAACGCCCCCTACCAACATATGGAGATGGTTTAACGTAGTTATCGCCAATGTCAAATTTCTTTTAGCGCAGTCCAGCTGTTTGATATCACGTGTAATTTCCCTAACCATCTCCTCAGACTTTTCCGCTTTTTCTTTGATGGTTTTTATGTGTTGGAACAGTTGTTTGATGACTTTTTGCGCTTCGTCGAGGGCTTGACGGCCATCTTGACTTGCGGTGATTTGCCCTCGTACCACAGTGCTGATTTCGTTGTCGATAGACTGGATTTTATTTTCCATTTTGGTGACGACTTCATCGATGTTCGAAAGCGATTGTTCCGTGGGGAAAAGGGAGTTGATGTAGTCGATGCTGTTGAAGTCTGGTTCGTCCAGAGGGTCTTTACTGGGTAAAACCTGTAAATCTAGTGTGCGGTAAAAGTGAGGTTATGTTTCATGAATACCTCGTCGATTGCCTTTTGGACTTCAGGGGTGAAATTTATGAAGAAGTCTTGATTGTCTTCGTCGAGGACATCGTCCTCGAGGGGTGTCTCCATGATCAGCCCCCAAGGGTGCAAATATTGCCAACTTACGAAAATAACACAAAAGGTAAAGGAGGCACTAATAGGCGATTTTTGACAATGAAAATCAATTAAATGCAAATGATAATACTGATAATGGTTAAATTGGATAAACAGCCACGACCGTTTTGTTGTGGAAGTAATTTGATTATTTGTTAGGTTGGCAATGCAAAAGATCACGTCCTTGCAGTAAAGTGGCACAAAATCAACGACTAAACACCAACAATGTTAATTTAATGTCTGCATTTTTTGTTGATATAATTGAATCTTGTCTGCAAAATAAATCAAGTAAATGTTACATAATTTCTGCGGAAATGCAATACATAACGGGGATTTTGTTTCTGCAGCAACTGTCACTTGTCACCTGTCAACCCGATCGTGTCCTTCTAGTCGCGTTCAACGAGGGCACTGAACCCGGCAAAAAATGTCAATAAAAGCCGATTTAAGACAACTATTGAAGCCCTATTACATCTTCAATCTCATATTGAGTCTCTCGTACATCATCCTGAAACGTACTCCCGGTGTTTGTAACTATTTATTTAATGTTGAGGACTGTGAATTCGATGGGGTGAGAAAACCACTTCCGGTTTCCATTCACTGGAAAAATCTGTCTTTTAGCGAGAAACCGAAATCCTTTTCTTCCTTATCATCGTTATTATGATAAGAACTCGAAAGTCTGGGAGCGTCTCCATGATTAATTACCTCTCCTCGAGCTTCATCTACACAAAAGTAGCAAATTTGATATTATGGTTCAACGCAGATTTGTTGATGGGGATAATTTACGGAATAGTTTTCATCTGTAAGTCGCAGAGGCGTTAAGGAAGCCGCTAATCTGTCAATTGTTTTAGTGGGGGCACTTCTGTTCCCAGAGCCTGCATACTCAGGCCCCGATAATGTAATATACTTCCGTGGAATGCAAGGTTTAGAGGAAGAGCTCTCACGCAGTAAAGACTGTTATTGGTTAATTACGTTCTACACAGTCTGGAATCCAGCGTGTGTAAATTTCGCTCCAATTTTTGCTAAATTAAGCACTGAATACAATTTAGAGAATCTCCAGTTTGGTAAAGTGGATGTGGGGCGATACCCAGAAGCGGGAAAGAAGTATTACGTAAATGACAGTAGTTTGAGTAAGCAACTGCCCACGACAATTTTATTTAAAGATGGTAAAGAAGTTGTTAGGAGACCAGCTATTGATTCTAAAGGGACTGTGTCAAAGTTCTTTTTTTCAAGTGATAATGTTAGAGGAGCGTTCAATTTGAATAATATTTATGAAGAGTGTAAAAGCACGCTTAAACTGAAAAAGAAACACGCTAAAAAGGATTAGTTGTTGATTTATTGTTGCGTTCATAGTGCCATTGTATTTAGTGAATAAACATCCGTTACTATTGGGAGGGTTTTTAATAGTTTACCAGCATCGCTTTAGCGACTTCACAGGCTTTATCTCGAGAGTAAAGTTTATCCACAATGGTTAGTGCAAAAAGATAAGCTGTACCAGGGCCTCGGCTTGTGATTAATGGTCCATCTTCTACAACTAAGTTTGGTTTATAGATGTATTGTGCACCTTCTTCTAGTTCTGCTTGCATAGCTGGATAAGAGGTTATCGCCTTACCAGTGTAGACCCCATGAGCCTTCAGCGCTGTCGGTGCTACAAAAATGTATCATGTATTAGAAAATTTCGTTGTCATAGGCAAATTCCTCACCTGCACAAATCGCTGCAGTGAGGCGTCCAGACTTCTCTTGTTCTTTGAGTAGATCTCCAACTTCTTTGGATTCAGACAACGCTTGCGAGCCTCCTAGGCCCCCAGGAAGGACGAGTACATCAAAAGGACCCTTCGTGTGAGCTTCTTTGATGGAAATATCTGGCTTTATGTTGACTCCTCGGCTGCACCTGACGATGTCACCGTCAGGGAGGCCAGTGACTGTTACATCTACCTATTTATTGAGAATTTTAAAATCTTTTTTTTGAGGTTAAGGTACGACTTACACCGCCTCTTCGCAGTACGTCAATGGATATTACAGCCTCCATTTCTTCTGCACCTGGGGCGAGAAAAACTAACGCCTTTTTCGTCATTGCGGTAGTAAAATTTTTGATGTTGACTTTGACTGCCAACTTCTTTAAAATTCTAGAATTGAAGTTAATCAGATGAAATGACATTGGAAAGGTTATTTGAATTTAGGGAAGTTTTACGTTATTATGTTGCTGATTCAAAATTTAAAAGTATTAAATTCATAGGGAGAGATTTCTTTGGTCATTCTCATTAAGGAATATTAACTAAATTAAATATCTCTTCACCTCATCATTGTAAAAAAATAGGTAAATATTTATTAAATACACATCCTAAATTCTGTTTGTGTGTTGCACCAAATGATTGTCTATTTTGATTATTTTGTGACACCACTTTTGGTCTTTTTTCAGCATTTTTTCTTATTCTATTTTATTTTTTATAAAAACATAATGAAGATTACCAAACGTGACGTTTCTGTATAATAAAAAAAACCTCTAGAAAGAAATTCTTTGAAGAAAATACGTTACAACTCAGTTTTTAGAAAATCACTTGCTCAGAAAGTAAAATCGTCAGAAAATATATTATGCAGCAGAACAAAAGTTTTTAGAAAATCCGCTCATAAATTTGTTTTACACAATGGTTCAATTCCATGTACAATCGCGGCCGTTGAAAAGTACCACACTGCATTTTTGCGCATTACATATTCGAAAATTTAAAAATTCGTACAACCTAAATTAAGTTTTATATCAGATTTGACAGTGTCACTCACACCTTTTGACAATATTGTTGTACGTCATTTGGATTATGCCACCGCCAGCAATTTGGATTTTGCCAAACCACCGGGAAGAATTTATACAAATACATCAGATACCGGTTAGATCTGTGCAAAATGTCGTCAATATCAAGACGTCTCCTAAGCAAGTAAAATTTTCTGCTCTACGACACTGTTTTCAGTGACACATTTTAAAAACTTCAATTTCGGAGCAGTTCACAAAGACAAAATTTTAGAGATGTCAAAGTATAGTACTGTACAATTGGTTGCATATTTAGGATAAGTTGTATGATATTTAAAATCATTTGTTAAAACAACATACATCACGGTACAAATGCCGCCCGCTGGTCCTAAGATTAGTTACGCGTTGTAAAAATGGAATACTAATTTAGACAAATTAATAAAACAATAATTTATTAAAATTTCAATTAGATACAAGGGAAATGGGGCGGTGGATATAAATTTTTGAAAAGCTGACATTTCATTGTCTTGCATACAAAAATGTGTAATTTGGCTTTGTGATTTTTTGTTGTATTTTTTTTTTCTTTATAGGTACCTATCAAAGAAATCTTTTTAGCGTAATACTTTTGAATAACTTTTCGTTCTTCCATGTTTTTTCTGGTACCATGTATGAATCGTATTTTGTTAATGATAGTCAAAAATTCGAGGTATATTTTTTCTCGATTTAATACTTTTTTGTTTTTCAGGTCCATTTCTCAAGCTTTGCTACTACTGGATTTTAATAGATCAACATACAACATAAAAGATACAATAACATTTATTTTTTATTATAATTTTTTCTTTTTTTTTGCTTCGTGGAACAGAAGCGATATATCTAAAGGCGATTTTTGACCTCAAAGATGTAAGAGCACAGCAATTTGCGACGGATTTGTGTTATACCTAGTGGCGATAGCGCATGCGCTACTTCTCCTAGGATCAAACACAACTTCCATATAGATGGTGATATAAGTCTTCAGGCATCAGAATTTAAAACAAGTTATCTCGGCTGGAAAGAAACTCCTGAGAAGATACTAAGTCTGCTATATTTATTTGTTTATAATGTATTTGGTTTATAAATAAAAAGTTATACATGTTTTCACCAAAACGAGTTTATAGCTACCTATTTATAGATATGTAGTTCTAATTAATGCTGCCAGTACCCCGATACTAAAGGTGAATAATTTATTTCACACAATTTTTTCATTTGATCAGTATGCGTGGTTTCAAACGTTTCCATTTAAGATACAAAACCAGCCCATTTCTGATAACTTTCAGGAGGTTTTTGTCTCCATATACATATAGTATTAGTGGTAGGTATTAGTCTAGCGGTGTACTGTATGCTAAAAGAGATTTACTGCTAAAGTAAATTAATTTTTGTCTTATCGTTTGATTATTGGTATATAATGTCATGAATTTGAGGTTTGTTATTGACCAATTAATTGACCCTTTTCCTGTAAGCAAAGTGAGTAGACATTATATAAATTCCAATGATACAGAGTGAGACAACATCGCGCAGGCGAAGTCAGATTTTTGGACCGCCAAGTTAAAATTAACCAATGAGCGATAGAATACGCATGTGTAGCTGGTTGCATTCTGTCAAAGCGGTTTGTTGTCACAGGCCTTTGCTCTGCTGCCGGAGTGCCGGATACGTGGTTTTGAAGATGCGTGCGCACGGAAAGTCACTATGGAAGTTTTACGATCTTACAGGAAAAGGGTCAATACCCTAGAGCATTAAGAATTGTTGACATAGTAACGTCAACAGAAAACGCAATCGGCTAGAAACCAACTATTACTTAGTGTATTGTTAGTTGTGTACATGCGGCGATAACGATAATTCAAGAAATCCAAAGTCCCAGAAGACAACAAATCCTAAAAAGTCCCAAAAGATTCAGAAAACCGAAGACATCCAAAAGAGTCCAAGAATGTCAAGAAATCGAATAATTCTAAAAATCCAAGAAATCAGAAAATCCGAAAATCCAAAAAATCAAAAAAAAATAATAAAATACTGTGGATCTACATTTGTGGCTTATCAGTACATTAATTTCTTTTTTATGGTTAATTCGATATTTAAATCCGAGGAAATAAATTCTGAAGTTCTTCTGGAGTAAATGCAATTAACCAATAAAAAAATGTGAAATATGACTTTTTTTTGTAAATACCAAAAACCAAAAGGTAAAGGTATTTATTTTATTAAGAGTTTAAGTGATACTTCATATGACGGAGTATGGACGATTAAACGGCGAGCGACAGCGAGGCGAATAAGTCCATACGGGTCACATAAAGTCACTTAACTTAAACTCTGAATGATATACAATATTTTAGTTTTAAACGATTAATATTCTTTTGAAATGATTATTTCCTATCTCCTTGCTTTCTTAAAAAACTGCCTTGTATTCACTTCCCACGGTGATTTTCACATAAACATATCCTACTTACTTATACTCCGGCGTAGTATGAGTATTTTGTTTGTACTTTGGCAGAATATAAGTAGTATTTATGCGCTGCTCAAATACACTGTAATAAAAATGACACTTAAATCCCGGTAACAACGTCAGTGTCAATTATATGACGTTTGAAAATAATATTTTTTGTGTACCACGGGTATTATGAAGTATTTAGAGACCCGAAGGTGTCCGTATTATTATTATTATTATACTTCCTGGACCGACTCGATTACAATGGTCGGCACTTCTTCTAGCTTTTAGTGTACAAAGATTAAATTCTTTTAGAGAATATCATTAGGATATAATCTAACAGGGTACACACCATGTTTAATATAATATAATCTCTTACAAAATTTTCTCTGTATTCGTTCGAGCGACGCAATATGAACATCATAATATGGATCCCATATCATACTACCATATTCTAATTTAGCCCTAACATATACATAGTACAGCGTTAACAATGCTTCAGTGTTTCTAAAATGTACCGTGTTCCTATATATAAATCCCATCATTTTTGTGGCATGGTTACATAAATATTGTATGTGTGGTACAAATTTCAACTGTGGATCTAGAATAATACCAAGATCTTTAATTTGATTAACTTTGTCAATTGCTGATCCATTCAAAGTATAATTGTAATCTATATTCGAAGTTGTTATAGAAAAAGTAATTACTTTACATTTAGATACATTAATTTTCAGAAAATTTGTTGTACACCCTTAGATCATATAATAAATAGATACCACCACGCCGTGTTCTTTCCCTAGAAGAGCCTGTGACGACATCCTCCTGTCACACATCTCTCTCGTGCATGGAGGGATTACAATGAAGCTATCCTTGCCTGATCACTATTTGAATTTTGCGCGCCTAAATTTTTGGAAGTGTGTCTGAACTAACTTCGTACGAAAGATGTTGACAGCTTGATTTTATACATAATTCACAGTAGATAACGAAAGGAATAGTAAATTATTGGGCAGCGATTGTGATCCTTTATGATTACATCACTTAAAATAGCATCTTTGTTCTAAATTCTAAAATTAAACGGCGAGCGACAGCGAGGCGAATAAGTCCATACGGGTCACATAAAGTCACTTAACTTAAACTCTGAATGATATACAATATTTTAGTTTTAAACGATTAATATTCTTTTGAAATGATTAACAAGAACACGAAAGAGAGGTTAGAAGAAACATCTGTCAAAAGCGATTTGTTGCGCTGGTGCGGTACAAGGATGGAAGTGAAATAGACATATACAGATGAAATGCATATAACAAAGATGAAGATGTGGTGATCACACAAGGATAGCATTATACTGCTCCCTTTGACAACAGATAGCTTCATGTCTAGTCACACCTTTCAGTTTGAGTATTGGTATCTATTTATTATATGATCTAAGTGTACACCACGATTTAAAACCATCTAAATCTGCTTGCAGTAGTTGACAGTCACCAGTAGATTCTATACGATTAGCAATTTTTAAGTCGTCCGCATAGACAAACACTCGACAACGAAATAAAGACAAAGCATCGTTAAAGTACATAACAAAAGAATGGGTCCTAACGTTGATCCTTGTGTAACGCCACTATCAGTATTATACAATTGTGAGCGGTATCCATGATATTCGACAAATTGTTGCCGGTTGCCAAGTAGCGACTTAAATAAATTTATCAGATTGTTACATAAGCCAAAAGTGTTTAACTTCCTAATTAGGATAGAATGGTTGACCACGTCAAAGGCTTTGGATAGATCAGTATATAACACATCGACTTGTTTCTTAGAATCTAATACAATGGATACATATTGAATATATTCACAAAGGTTCGTCGTCGTAGATCTGCCCTTAATAAAACCGTGTTGGTTGTCATGCATGCTATGTGGCTAGATAAATTTTTTGCTAAGATGGCTTCAAAAATTTTTGCAAAATTCGAGATAATCGCTATTGGTCTGTAATTTTGAACATCATGTCGTTCACCGGTTTTATGAATAGGAACTACCTTTGTCGTTTTCCACATCTTCGGAAAATTTGCTCTCTGAACTATGATATTAAACAAATGACATAATGGTTGACATAAACAAGAAATACAGTCTTTCACTAAAAATGCAGGTACACTATCAGGTCCCATTGTAAAATTTGGTTTAATTTTCTTGAGAGCTTGGTAAATATCACAGGTCGTTATCACAAAATTATTTAACACTGGAAACATATCACTAGTATTATCACAGAAGGTTGAATTATCACAGGGAATGTCACTAATGAAGACCGAACTGAAGAAATCAGCAAAGGCATTGACGATATCTTGTTGATGAACTAACTCCTTATCTCGGAAATGCATGTTACCTGGGATGCTGGTGTTATTTCTTTTTAAGTTAATATATTTCCATAAATTCTGTGGATTTGTACTAATATTTTCTTCCGCTCAATTAATAAAATAAAAATTGTGCATTTTGATTTTACTTTTAATAAGTTTCCTTAGGTTATTAACTTGAGCTAGATCTCTCTCAAATTTATGCTTTTTATAACTTTTCCATAGGCGACGCTTACGATTAATATAACTGACTAGCTGACCCCGTGAACTTCGTTTCACCTACAATTTAATTTTGAATCTGCAAAACCGAATGCTTTGAAATCTTGCAGATGTTTTAAACATATGATAAGCATAATACATTTTTATTCAAAATATATTTACTTATCCCCTCCAAAAAATTGATGACGTCAGCCCAAAATTTTGCCAAATGACTCCTCTCTAAAATGTCCAAGATAGGATGAGACTATACTTGTGATTTATCATTTCATTCATATTTTTTAGTTTTGCTTATAGGGGGCGTCTCAAAAAAATTAATCACTGAGTCAATTTATTTTATTGATTGAATCAAGAATTGCAAAACTGAATTTTGAAATATTGCAGACGTTTTGAAGTTACTGTTTGACATGGTAGGTTTTTAATCAAAATATATCTGTTTATCAAGCCCAAAAACTTGATGACGTCATCTCAAGATTTTGCTGAACAGATCCTATCTAAAATGTGCAAAACATCATCAGTATATTTTCGTAATTTATCATTGCATTCATATTTTTTAGATTTGCTTTTACAGTGACTGCAAAAAATGTATGGATCAGTCAATTTATTTTAGAGAATAACTCAAGAGTTGAAGAAATGACTACTTTGAGATCTTGCAAACGTTTTAAAGTTATTGTAAGCATGGTAAATTGTTAAGAATATTTACTTATTCCCCCCAAAAAATTGTTGGAATGGCCCACTCGATTTTCGCAGATAATTTTGGGAATACAATACAGTTATTTTTAGTATTACACTGCACCAATCCAAGGTGGTATACGTGTTGATCGTAAATGTGGATTAGGTCATCACAAAATTGTGTGAAGAAAAGACTCAACTCGAAAATGCTGAATATGTTTCATTATACTTTTGGTGCGAAGGAAGTTCTGTCGAAACAACGTTCGATCAAATTTTTGACAATGGTTGATATAAATAAAACTCAGTAGATGCTCATACTCGAAATACGAAGGATCTACTCGAATATCAAATTAAAATATTTCTAGTTTTTCTAGATGATGCTAATACTTCAGTAGGTAACAGTTGATGCTCAAGTAGTATCTCGATACAACAAAAACGGAAAACATTGACAGTGTTCAACCATC